AAATACAACGCTGTCAACTGCACTGGTCTGTTAGTTTAATAATACGCTGAATTAACTTGTGTTATAATACTGTGATAGTGACAAACGTGGACCTGTCATTAAGTAACGTTAACTGTTAGTAACTTGTCATGATTCGTTCATTTGGGTGAAGTGACGTTAACCGGCTGTAATGGTTAAGTTATTACTAATGTGGAGCTAAAGCCAGCCTGCCACCCTGACGAAAACAAAGTATTAACACGACTCAGTTTTTACTATGCAGAGTTAAAATGTAGCATAAATACATGACAGCTAGGAGCTAGCATTACTTAGTTAACAGTTAGCTAGCGTTAATCAAACATTGTTGTTGGGGTGAAACACCCTAAATAGCCGACAACAATAGTTATGGGAACAGTGCACGCGCTAAAAATTCTATAACAAATGTCGAGTTATTTAGTCAAAATGAACTTACTGAAAGTTGTCTTCAACAAAAGCTAATTGTTGAGTTATTCCTGAGGCAAACAGCAGCGGTGTGTGAGGTGCGCTTTGACCGTGTGCAAAATGACGTCATCTTTAGCCCAAACATAGCATTAGCTAACATTAGCTACCTCAACATTGTTATATTATATTTGCGAACAAAAATGTAGTTTAAACGCAGTTTGCATTCTGTTAAACCATTTAAGTAATGAACAGTACTTTTTTAACAAACCTTTATTTTCAACCAAGTTCAACATTTGGCATATTATGTTTTGTTGTTATGGAATACTATAAAATATTTTATTAATTTAGAAAATGTTGTGAAAAATAACAAAAATGCAGACACGGTAATACATGAAAAAAAATAGTCAAGAAAGTCTACATTTGTATACCCAGCATCCCTAATTCAGACCAGACAGCACTATGTGACAAGAGATCTGGACAGAGAGTGACATATTTTGGAGTTTAGTGATGATGATGGAAGTCTTCTTTCATTACTATCAACAGGTCCTAGTTTGAGTCCTCACAAAGGTAGCCCAGGGTTGTGCATTTTTTGAATGGGAATAACAAATTAGGGAAACACAATGACACCTTTGACAGTCTGAAATTATTTAAAATAATTCTCAAAATTAGTTTCTCTAATCCCATCCAGGATGATCAAAATGATTTAAAAAATAAGTCAGTAATGAAAATGTCATAACACACATAGCACATAATCAAGCATATGCCTCCCAAATTGAAGTGTCAGTTGACTGTGTGTTTATGTTCCTTGATGCATACGTGTGAACACGCACTTCCTGTTTGACATGTTTTACCAGGTGTGTCACAGCATGAATACCAGGTGACTCAACCTTTCCCGGTTTCATTTTGTGATAGGCTAGTGTGTCTGTGTATACAGGTGAGGTTTTTTTTATTTGGGCGGTGGTGGTAGGTAAGTAAATTGAGAAGGATATGTGTGTGTCTGCCAGAGTATCTGTGTAGTGTGTGGGTGTGCGTGAGATCACAGGACGCGGAGTACATGTTTGCTCAGTAATCTCTGGCTGAACCTGTCTGTTAGGTGTGGGCTGGCTGGCACTGACTTGCAAAGGTATGAGGAGAAATCCAGCACAGTCCTGAGAGAGGAGGGGAACTCTAGCGCTTCTGTGACGGGAACTCTTCATTTCTCACAAAAATAAGCAGGGAAAGGCACACACAGAAACACCTGTACAAAGGACAGTGGAAGAGGAAACCCGTGGGAACGAGGAAAGGCTGTTTTGGAAGGACAAAGACAGAGAGAACAACACTTCAGAATGTGAAATAACCCAGAGGAGATTCTTCTACTGCAGTTCGATCAATGGGTCTGGGATTCCAATGTGGCATTTCAGGCTCTGGGATGTACAAGATGTTGCTGTGTTTCTCAGCATCACATTATATATGTGTTATCTAGGTAAGCATTCCAACACATGTATATCATTTGGACTTCTCCATAGAGCTCATGTATTGGATTATTGTGTTAGCGAGCATGCCTATATGCCAATCTTATATTTGTTTAGAGCTAAATAGTTAATTCTGTACACATGACATCTACTGCACTTCTGTCCTGGGAGAGGGATCGCTCCTCTGTTGCTCTCCCTAAGGTTTCTTCCTGGTAAAAGTTGTTTTTGGGGGAGTTTTTCCTGTACCAATGTGAGGGTCCCGGGACAGAGGATGTCGTATGTGTACAGACTGTAAAGCCCTCTGAGGCAAATTTGTGATTTTGGGCTATACAAAATAAATTGAATTGAAAATAGAGTGAGGGCCCAGCCCTTTCAAAATGATCTTAAATTGAGAACCTGGCAGGAGTGCAAACTGGAGATGGAACTTATATTTTCTCACTCTCTTCGCCCTACCAGGGGTAAGTAGATGAGCAAAGCACAAGTCATGTACACATAGCGGTGTACATGTAAACACCAGATTGTCCTGGTTCACACCCAAGTACCAAGTACACCAAAGAAAATCTGAATCCCAAAGAAAATAAGAAGCAATAGTGCAAAAGAGCAGTAACTCATGTCCTTGCAAATGGAAGTCCAGCTGCTCAGAATAACCACAAAGAAGTGTCTTTTGCTTTAAAAAAAACAAAAAAAAAAAAAAACGTTCTTAAAATTTGATTTAAATATAGATTTTTCCCACACAGAACCCTGGTAAGAATTTTATGTCTGAAAAAAAAAGCATTGGTATTGTCAGGTGGAATTCTCTACCTTAAGCAAACACACCACACGCAGAACCAGACCCCCCCATGAAACTCCTATGGAAATATTTGATGAGGGGCGGCCAGAACAGACAGGAGGCCAATTCAAATTCAAATTGGTGAGCCTCAGCTTGTTTGACCAGTTTTATTCCTTCATGCCAGGCATGTAATTTGAAAAAAGAAACTCACACAGCAGCACATTTCTGGGTTTAATGCAAATGAGCCACTGTATTGGCCAGAAAAGGTAAAGGTGTGACCCATAACAATCATCTATCCATCTATCATATCTTGATGTGTATTTATCTGTTTTTCTTCTTCGCACTTTGGAAGCCGGAGCCATCTCCATCCACTCTCCCCAGAGGAGCCTGACCAGGTCGGTGCAGGACGATGTGTTTTTCTCAGTGGACGTTACCTGCAGTGAGGTACCCACCATACAATGGAACTTTATGTCGGGAGCGGTGAGCCGCACCATTGGGACTTGGCAGCCGGGGGTGTACACCAACATAACGGTGGATTACGTGAGCAGAGTGCAGTCCTTCGACAATGGCTCGATGGGCCTGTCGGACTTGCGGCTGCAGGATGCCGGATACTACGTGGTCACCGTCACGGAAAGCGCAGGAAGCAGCAAGGATGCAGGTTTTGTCCTGAAAGTGAACGGTGAGCGGGTCTGGGCTTCTGCGTATTTCATTCTTTAAGCAAATAGATAAGAGTGCAACGTTTGGAAAAACCTCATTTGACTGCATTTTCTTTCGCAGCCTAGAGTCACAGGTTTAAAGAGCCAGCATCTAGCTTTTGGCAAAAGTGGAATATAATATTCCATATTATTTTGTCATAAGTGTATAATTACCTGAAACTAAACATTGCAATCAAACTAAACATTGCAAACTAAACATTGCAGCTCAACTGTCATTCCAACAGTTGTTGGAATGACAGTTGAGCTCAACTGTCATTCCAACAGTTGTTGGAATGACAGTTGAGCTGCCCAGGTTTCCCAAAATTGTCTGCGGCTATGAGAAGCGGGCTCCTGACTGGGAGAGTTACTGGTTTGATTCCCAGGCGGGAAAGTGAAAAAGCAGCACTTGCCACCCTCCTTCATTACCACCACTGAGGTGCCCTTTAGCAAGGCCCTAAATCCCAACTGCTCCAGTGGAGCTGCTCAGCGACCAGCAGCTCAGACCGTGGTTGCACTCCGCAGATTAGCTCTCCGCAGGAGGACACATTCATGATGATACTCCGTTATCTGTGGCGGTAGTTAAAGTCCAGAGTCACATTTTGAATAGTGTATGAGCCTTTGAGATCTTCAGATCAAGCAACTTAATCATTAGTAAACAACCTGAGCAGGATTTTAGTTCACAGTGTTAAAATAATGACACATGGAAATAGCTATATGTGTAATAACTGTAAGGTTTTGTTATTGGTGAGCATGACATAAGAATCAGGATGCTTTTATTTCTTTACATCAAACACAGTCTCCCTACTACCTCCTCTCTCTCCTCGCACAAGCTGGATTCCCAAACGTGTGTGTTTTGTGTTTGCATCTCTGGAAAGTAGTCCTTTGCACAAAGCTTTTTGTTTTTGTAACAAAAAGTGACTCCTGTGTCCCTGTCCTCCAGAGGTGCTATATGAGGATCTCCAGTACCTGTCCGTCTCTGCCTTGGCACTGGCCTGTTTGGCCGGCCTTCTCATGCTGGCCATGTGGCTGCTGGACAAGGCCTACAGGAAGATAGTGGCATGGAGACGCAGGAAACAGATGCCAGGTAAGACCAGGATGAAAACAATCGGTCTGTAAAGTGCATGGCCGTTTGTGACTGACCGGTTTGTATGAGACACCATCATGTTTGCACATAAGGCGAGAAACTTAAGGCAAAAAAAAACAAAAAAAAAAAAACACTTTTCAATTTTGATGTTTTGAGCTATTTTGCTTCCGTTAACATGAACTCTTTCTGACTGGTGGAAAGAAAACATGCAAAATACACATTTAGGTGTTTATGCCTCGATGACTTATTACAGCAGCTTGGGTAAATAAAAAGGTAGGAAAGTATATGGTGGCAAGTACTGATACTTTTCTAGACAGTAGTAAAATGCTTTTTTAAATGAGGACGTTCTATGCCGGATCTTCGTTTTAAATCATATAAACTTGTACATACGAGAGGATTGTTTGCCCTGGAGTTACCTTCTCACTGCTGCATCGTTGTGTGAAATGCATAGACGTGGCTTGACAGGCGTGAATGTGGGTTGAGGTTGTGGGTGTGTCTGAGCACAAAGGTCTCACAGTTCTATTATTGCTTCATTACATCAGCGCGTTGTGTTAAGTTACATCCTCCTTTCATGCAGAAACCGACGTGACAGAGCTGCAGCGTCTCTGATGGACGTCTCGCTGTGCTTTGGACCGGACAGGAAAACAAACCGGAGACTGTTCATCCATTTTTTTTTTTTTTTTAAATTTAGGTGTGTATGTGAGGCTACATGTCTCATTTCTTTTTTTTTAGCTGCCCAAGTTACTGACAGGCAGGAAGATGGTATGCCACTTATGAAAGCGTGTACCCAAGATGTTGACATTTGTATTGAACACATACTTTTACAGCACACTGCTGATGACACTGGATTGAATGTAAATATATCCCTCATGACCCTGGAAAACAATACATACTGTATTTATTGTCGAAGCAAAGGAATTGTGTGATTTATTTTGTAAGCATATGGCCTCTTTACTACAATCATCCAAACTTGAATCTTGCGGTTTACAGTAGGTGGCCTGTATCAGATTTCTGATGCAGTGATAAAAGTTGGAGAATCACATGACTACTTTTTAGGCTTTCAGAGTGAAAGAATAAACACAAAAAAAAGACTGTTACTCGTTTTAAGAAAGTTGAGCTAAAACCTCAAAAAAGCAAGACTACAGAAACACATTCCTCACAATAAAAAATACCTGGAAGTCCTTAGAAAACCTCTAAATAAAATCCTTAATTCTATGATGATATGACAAATCGGCATACAGTAAATACATACAGACGTAACATTTTATTTTGTATCCAATTAGTTGGACACACTCGACAACATCGCATTATCAAAAACAGAGCAGACAACAGACACACAGGTGGAGGTGGAGAGGGAATTATTGCAGTATTCAAAAAGTCCATGAATTGTATGGAAAAAGGTGTAATGGATGGAAATGTCACATTTGACAAAGAGGCCTTTGCCAAGGCTGCAAAGCTCTGTCCAAATATCTCTCTAGATGCTCTGTGTTTGGTTGTCCAGTTCACTGCCGCTCAGCTGAATACAAACCATGGCTTTGTGTGTGTGTGTGTGTGTGGGGAAAGGAGTCCGCGGACTGACCGGATCTAAGGACAGGGAGTCAGCGCGGCCATGAGGAGCTCCATCTTGTAGACGAAGTTCCGTCCCTCCATCTTGCTCCAGTGGACCTCTTTGCTCGGCCCCCTGAGGTGGCTCCACTTGGCGTCCTGGATGACGTCGCTCTTCGGCAGCTCTTTGGTCTGGCTGCGGGGGAACTGGACCAGGACTTTGCACCCGCTCTCTGGGCCGTTACGCACTGAACAGACAGAGCGGATACACACAGGCGATACATCAGTGATCCGCTTATGTTAACACATTCATACTTAGTCGTCTTGGTACATTGAGTTCATGAGAATATTCTGTATTACCGCAGTAGGATATTATCTCAAGACTACGTTAAATCATAATGTGATGTAGTGCATTCCAGGAGTTGTATTTGTGGGGAAGTGTTTGCTTTCTTAATAATCCCTCAACTTGTATGAACCTGTCTTTTTGATCGAGTGATTTCATAGCTGAGACTGGGTGTTGCAATGCATGAGTTGGGCCTGAAAAAGCAACAGGTCTCATCTCTGCTGCGATGCATTTTGGTCAACTAGGGCTAACGTTGGTGCCGAAAATTGCATTACTTCCAATTCTCATGCGTTTCTCCCCGTGACTGTTGAATGTCAGTGCACTCTGTTGAGTCTAGAAGGAAATCCCTGTTGTTTGAAAAAAATACACCATAATAGCCACAATAAAGCTTCAAAAGTAGCTTATTTTTAACACGTTTCAAGATGGATTCTCTGCATGATTTTCTTAAGATAGAGGAGAACTTCCTATTTGGATGTTTGCGACACTCGTCTCACCTGAGATGGCGTACTCTCCATTGGGAGAGGCGACGGTGACGGCGGAGGCATTCCCAATGCTCTCCACTGGGCCCAGGCCCACATGGTTACTGAAGCTCAGGACATGCCAGCCCATCACTTTGGCCAGCTGCTGGACAGCGTGCACCTGATGCTGCGACATCTGTGAACGTACAAACACCACAGTGTGAAAATACAGTAAAAGTCCTGCATTCAAAACCTTGAAATAAAACTATGCAAGTATTATCGGCTAAATGTACTTTGAAGGATGACGAGTAAAAGAATAGATTGTACAGTAAAATGTTCCCTGGCAGTGTTTTACTATTATATATATTGTTTCTGGATTAATATTACTGCTGCATTAATGTGTATGTTGCATTTTACTGCTGTAGATGTTTTAACTCCTTTATATCCTGTTGGTTAGTTTAATCTACATCAATGCATCGTATTCTATAAGATCACCATGTTTGTAGCGTCTCTGTCCTGTGAGAACCTCGTATCTCTAAACAGATCAACAGTCCTGTTTTCAGCTTTGTGACGATGCATTTTCCAGCTGATCCAAGAGGCTTTTTAAAGAGTTTACTGAGATGAAGAAGTAGGAGGATTTTCTCAACAAGTAAAGGAACACTTCATCCTTCAGTTTAACACAAACATTTACACATCAGGAGATACATGGTTTTCACTGGACAGGACAGGGATGAAAATAAATTATTTACCTGTGAGATGTAGTGGAGTACAAGTATTAAGTAGCTTAAAATGGAAATACTCAAGTTAAGTACGAGTACCTTGAATTTGTACTTAAGTACAGCACTGGTTACATCCCCCCACTATTTCTAACCAGTACTGGGCAACATTTAACAACCAAATCAATTGTGCCTCACTGTTTTAGGCCCAATACGCAACAGGTCCATAGCAAAATAGGTCCCCACACACACACACACACACACACACACACACACACACACACACACAC